CCACAAGGGGCTGTAGGCCTGACCCCCTGTGGACTATGTGTTCTCCAACTGCCTTGGGATGTCGTGTCTCACTGACTGAAGTGAAGATAAAAATACCACCTAGAGCAGTACTGGAGTCTTGCTTTCTGAAGAGGAGCCTCAAGTCTTCCAGAGGATCTCAGGAATAGCTTTCTTCTTAGTCTGGTGAAAATTCTAGTAACCATTTTCCATGTAGCATTTTTATAGCTTGTCACTAAAGCCCTTGAGAAAAGACCAAAATGGTTCCTCAGGAACTGAGAATAAAACTAGGATATTAAGGGGCAATAGGGCTGCCATTCTTACCTCCCTATCAACCTTTTGATTTCCCAAAGAGACTTTAGACATACATGTCTCTTTGGGATTCCTTGCAATGAATTACAGTGACCTCTTTGGGGAAGACAGATTATCTCTAAGGCTAAGAGTATACTTTAAATGTTCTTGTCACAAAAATATAAATATATGAAGTGATATTTATATATTAATTAGATTTAATCATTTATTTTAAAAGTCTACAAAGTTTCGATGTATTGAAACTTTATTTGTACATAATAAATATACATGATTTGTTATTTACCATTAAAAAGTCGAGAGTTACAATTCTCTAAAACAGACTTCTTTGGAATACCAATCGTTTTGATATTGCAATGCTATGGGGAAGGTTATTAATTTAGGCATATAGGGTCCTTTCCTGGATAATAATCTGACATTACATATAAAGAGCCTAGTAATTCCACTTTGAACAACTCATTCTAAGGAAAAAGTAATTCAAATGTCCAAAATGTGTGTTTAAGAATGTTTAACAATGCTTTCATTATGGTTTCTAAAAGTAAAAAATAGGCCTCTAATTCAAAGTCCACTAGTTAAATTATGAATATAATTCTGATAGTATTTTAAGTATCCATTAAAATTATTAGATAGAATTTTATGTATCCATTAAAATGATTACTTAGATGGGATTAAAATGGAGTATTATTCATGATAAATAATACTAAATGAATAAAAAGGTACTATATGTATACAAGTCAAATTTGATTAAAATATTTATATATGCATTCATTAGCATATCAATATATAGAGAAAAATGTAAGTCTGGAAAGTTATGTATCAAAATGTTAGCAATAGAAATTCTGATTTTATGTATATGCATGTATGTATAAAACCATAGTACATGAGAATATCAGAATGCAATATACATTTTGTGTAAATAAACTTGTTTTTACTTAGCTCTGTTTTCTAATATGAATCTATATTCATTATGTGAAGAAGTAATGAATGTTGAAAAATAGCATAATTTAATGTTTTAAGCAGACTTCTTAAACAATCTTATAAATGGAGACCAGAAATATTTTTAAAGAGGTATTTATCCAAGAATATTTGTAAGAATTCACTGTTAAGATTAGTGGTCTAAACTCTGGCAATGGTTCATTTCTGAAAATTTGTATTATTATTATTATTACTATTATTTTTATTAGACAATTAGAAAAATATGATTTTCCTCTTAGAAATATCTGGAAAAATAGAAATTGCTCTTTAACAATAGACAAGGATCTTGATTCAACCTTTGTGACAAAATTTCCCCATATATTTAGAAACTGTTTTTTCTGGCCTTGGATTCTTCATAGGAAAAGTAGCTGAGTTGGATGATCTTGACGACCTTTACAAAGCTAATTTCCAAGAATTTAGTATAGGGCTAGGGATTTAGCTCAGTGGTTTTGCAGCCTGCTGCGCAGGCGCAAGGACCCGAGTTCGATCTCTGGTACCAAAAACAAAACAAAAACAAAAACAAAGAATTTATTATGCATCTAGAAGTCAAGGTGTCTTTAGAGAACTTTATGAGGAAATGGGAATTTGCAAAAAATTAAATGAAAGCAAACTCTCTAAAATACTCTTTAAAGGATTCTGATTCTGAAATTTCACAGGGTGCTTATTGGTAAGTCTCTCCCTTAATTTCTTGCATAATGAGACTTTTAGAACAAATTCTGTTAAATATTAAAAGATAATTGAACATTGGTATAATTGGTATAATTGTGACACCTGGTGGTCAAGTGAAACATCACAGCTCTATTTAAATTCCCCAGGCATTTATTCACATCCACACGTTTCTTTTTTTTGTTTTTAGTATGACCTTTTTGCTCTCCCAGATTCGTTCATTTAGTATACAGTGAATAACCTAACAAACTCTTAGTGGGCTATTTATATATTCGAGACACTTAGCTAGACGTTTTATTTAGGAAGAAAACAAGAATTAAGAGAATGAATCTTTGATATGTGAAAGATTGCTATTTAGACCAACAAACTAGACCCCACAAAAAGGCAAGTAACTGCATTCTACTGGATATGTTAAGTGCACTCTCACTAAAGTTAACAATTAAAACTATGTTTACTTTGAGACCAAAGAAGTGACTTGTAGTTTGGATAAAATAGAAAAGGTTTCATGAAGGAAATAAACTTTGCCTTTCTTGGGGACCTCAGTTTCCCCATCTGTGAAATAACAATAATATTTTTTTATTTCATAGGATTGCAGAAAGAGATTTTTGGAGAGACTATATATAAAATATTTACCATAGCACCTGGCCAAAAGTAAGCATTTAGTGAATGCTAATTGCTTTTATAACTAAACTAAAAGTGATCATGTATACAAGTGGTGATTGAAAAATATGGTATGTGTTTAAATTAAAATAATTATTACTGAAAAAGACACATTGCTGTTAATCCCTCTCAAAATATTCTCTCTCACTTGGGACACACTTTTCTCATAACTCTTGCCATTTTTGGAAGCAGTTATGAAAGTCATCTTTCATGAGTGTCTGTACAAGGTGTGATCAAATTATGGTTAGTGCTGTTGTCATCCAACAAAAAGACAAGCTTGTAAAATCATTAAGGTGTCCTTATATACTTCATTTCTTTATTCACTGGATATGGCACCATGTTACTTCTGGCTCTTTCCCAAAGTCAAAATGTACATGAAAGGTAAATATTTTGAATTGATTCAGGACATCCAGGAAGCCATGACAGCTCAACTAAAGATACAAAAGAGGACTCCCAGAATTTTTTCAGAAAATGGCAAGAATGATGTGATAAGTATGTTTGAATCAAGGGGCAGTATTTTGAAGAGAATTAATAGCAATGTATCCTTTACTATAACATATCGTTTTAAGGTAAAAGCCATAGTTTTTGTTACACCTCATATTACCTTTAATTTTATGTGAAGACTAGTTCTGGTTGAAGTTTACATGTTTTCTTTTTTAAAAATTTAAGCTGAAAATATAGAATATAGTATCAATTACATGAATTAGTACTATGGATAAAAAATAACAAATAATAATGTTGGCTCTATTTATACTTTTCCAGACTAACTGACCAATTCAACAATACAGTCAACTCAGTGAAAGAAAATCATTCAAAGTTGCTATTAACCTGAATGACCTGGTTGTTTAACTGCTGCAAACTGTCAGTTGAATAAATATTGTTCATTTGAGAGCTCTGCATAGTCAGTGCAAAGGCATTAAATAAGGCACTGTGTGAGCTATGTATACGTTAACTGTATTTTTATGATTTCAATTGGTTAAGGTTGAGTAGACATTATTTTAGACCCTAGGTTTCATTGTATGTTCACATTTTAAAATTGTTGCAAAATATACATTTATTTTTCACTTGGGTACTAGGTAATTAATGTTAAGATTATCCCATGTCTCCTTTAATTCTATGAAACATGTAGCAAACTAACTCCATTTACAAGCAGTAAAAATTACCAAGTAATATTAAAATCCCATTTGTTGTTTTGTTTCTTCAGTCAGATGTATAAATCACATTTCCTAAAAATTATCAAACAGTTGTTAGCCAAACTTTCATTTTTAAGGATAAAATAAACTTCACTGTAGCATATTTTGGACAAAAGCAATAATATACTGTAATAAAACAAAACCAAGGACAGGCACATTTTCATATTAGCAATGAGTTTAACTTGGGTAAAGAAAATTTGAGAGAGGACATAATTGCTAGCTTCAGGTATTTGAAAAGCTTTCATGTGTAACTGGGAGTATACTTTATCTGGCTTTGATAGGCATAACTACTTTGAAGTGAAAGGAACAGATTTTCACTCACTAGAGGAAGAACTTTCTAAAATTGCCGTCAGGAAGAGTGCAAACATTCACCTTGAAAACTTTTCACTAGTGTTTCTGTGAAAGCTGAATTATACTCCCTTTTTTGCTTTATCTATTACCAGATACCCTCTGATCCTTCACATATTCTGGTAGTTGCCTAAAATTGTTACAAGAATAGTCATAATAAATGTGATTATCTAAAGCTACCATAATACTGTTACTATACAAAAAAAAAAGCTGTAGTTACAGGAGCTTCTGTAAAGCAAGATGAAATTTGCCCTGAAGAAGAGGGACAAAAGTTATCCGAGTTACATTATCTTTCCCAAGTCCCTTTCCTCCATCATCCTGGTGACCTGCCAGCTCTTAATCTCATGTCTCATTTATGAAAGTTCATGGATTTACATCAGCAGTCATCTAATCCTTTACAAAGTAGCAGATGAAAATGGATTACACTTTCTTTCTACTCGGGTTGATGATAGTGAACTCAGCTAAATCTTACTCTTGGAGCATACAGACGGAGGCAACTATATAACTGAAATGTTCAACCTCAAAAGAGTGTTAGAATGTGTACCTGGGAGCTATTTAGCAAAGAGGTCTTGACTATTGGTTAGCTCTAAAAATTTAATTACTTCCTCTTAAGGTGAAAACTTGACTGGGTTTATTACTAAAATACCAATTTTTTGATTCCATAAAGTACTTTCCTCCCTACTGCTATTCCTTTGCAGATTGAGATATTTTCAGTAGACAGAGATAAATCCTTTTAAATTTATAAAAGTTCATAACCTGAATACTTCTATGTTGAAAACAAACATACTTGTACATTCAAACATGAACTGACATGCTTTTGACTTCATTTTTACTCTATTTTCTGCAGAAATCATCACTCTAATGCTTTTCCTAAGGAAGGAACATAAATCCTCAAAATGAGAAGTAACAGTACAAACAGTACAAGAGCAAAGTGCACTGAGCTTCAAATGCCATTTCAATACTCCCTCTATGCAACCACCTACATCATCATATTCATCCCTGGTCTTCTAGCCAACAGTGCAGCCTTGTGGGTTCTATGCCGCTTCATTGGCAAGAAAAACAAAGCCATCATTTTCATGATCAACCTGTCTGTAGCTGACCTTGCTCATGTGCTGTCCTTACCCCTTCGGATTTACTATTATGTCAATCACCACTGGCCTTTCCAGAGAACCCTTTGCCTATTGTGCTTTTACCTGAAATATCTCAACATGTATGCCAGCATTTGCTTCCTGACGTGCATCAGCCTTCAGAGGTGCTTCTTTCTTTTCAAGCCATTCAGAGCCAGAAACTGGAAGCGTAGGTATGATGTAGGCATCAGTGCTGCCATCTGGGTCATCGTGGGTACTGCCTGTTTGCCACTTCCCATCCTGAGAAGTACTGGCTTAGCTAACAACAGTGAATCCTGCTTTGCTGATTTAGGGCTTCACAATGTTAGCATAGCTTCCTCGATCGGCATGGTAACTGCAGCGGAACTTGGAGGGTTTATATTGCCAGTTGTAATTATTACCTGTTGCACATGGAAAACAAGAAAATCTTTACAAGAAGTTCAAGTGCCCCTTCAGAATACTAAAGAAAGGAAAAAGGCTTTGAGGATGGTCCTGACGTGTGCAGTGGTGTTCATTTTATGTTTTACCCCTTACCATCTCAACTTCCCATTCTTTATGATGGTGAAGCAACAGGTGTTCTCAAATTGTTCCTTTATTAAGAGCACTCTATGTTTCCACATCATTTCACTGTGTCTTGCAAATCTGAATTGCTGTCTTGACCCAATTGTGTATTATTTTATGACCTCAGAATTTCGTAATCAATTTTCCCAACATGGCAACTTGGTTATTCAGTCATGTGTGAGATGTAAGGATGGTGCTCTGGAAATTCAGCAAAGAAAAGAGGACCTTCAAACTATCTCTCTCGAATGTTTGGATGATTTCAAGACAATGTAATCAAACAATTAGAATAGCTTTTATTCTTTTAATAGTTGGCCTATGTCATTTTGAAGATTTTTTCTAAAAATAATGTCATCTTAAAGAAACATGGCTTCTTTTCCTACATCTTCAAAATGATTCTTCTGAAAAAATTATGACTATATCAACTTGTCTAAATGGAAACATATTGTTCAATGGATTATGTGAGAAGGTATTTTTTTACATAAAGTGTTGAACAATGGACTGAATTGCACCCTGTTCCTCAGTAATTTGGTCTAATGTTTTCACCTTCTCTTGAAAGAAATAAAAAGTAAAGCGAAAACAGTCATGAATTTCAAACATTGAAAAATATACATCAGAACTATATGACTTTAACTTTATTTAGAAAATATACACTACTTGAGCAACAGAGATTAAAAATGAAAGGCTTTTGAGTTTCAGGGCTTATTTTTGATGTGACATGTGTTTTTATATACTTGTATTAATTTAGGATATATTATGTTATATTTGTTTATTAAAATCAACTGTGTCATTGCCTAAATTGATTGCTTCATATACAACCAGAGTCACAACTTTGCTTGGTATGTTTATATTGATGCGTTAATCATGTACATGCATATAGCTCGCCAGTTTCTAAAGTCTAGTACGACCTCAATTTTCAGCAGTATATAATCCTACCATAAGTGCAGAATGAAAAATTTACTTTAAAAATCTTCATGGTAAATTCATTTTGTAACACAAATTCTCCCCACTGGAAAATTTGAATTTTCGTATATTGGGTTTTATTAAAATGGCATCTTAAAATCAGTTGTTTTATGAAATTATAGTTGTTTTGTTGTCTTTGTATGACTGTAAATACACAGAGTTTTATTTGTGTGAATTTTTTGTAATACAGCTTGCTTATCAAAACAAAAGCAGATAATATTCACCATGAGGTGGGGAGAAGGACAAGGCAAAATCTAGGTTATCTAAAAATCTTCTAGAGGTCTGTATTTTCAAAACCTGTACTGATATTCTGCAGAAATGATCATTTAGCTCTTTAAATACCCAAACATTTAAAAGATCATGTTATGTATGAATATTTCTAAAATATAATTTTTTCTTAACCCCTTAAGCAATTTGTGTTAACCAAAGTAGCATGCTATATGAAAGGAGCTCTAAGTCAGATTCAGAAAATCAGGATCCTAGTTTCAGAACTGTCACTGGTAAGCTATGTGACCTTGGGAAAATTATTTCTCTCTAGAGTTTAATTTTATTGTCTGCACATAAAAGGGCTAAACAAGATGAGATAAATATGAGACATTTTCAGAGAATGTTTCCTGAGCATTAAAGCACTTATTATTTTTTTACTACCTTTTAAATTTAATTTTATTGGTACATTTAAGGTATATAATATAATGACATTCATCATTGGAAATTTGCAACTTCACATAATATATCTTGGTTCTTATGTTTTCCCCATTCCCCTGCCCTCCCTTCAACCCCTCCACCCCTCCCTATCTAAAAAGACTTTGTTTCCATTTTTTCTTTTTCTCATATTAATTCCATTCCTTTCTTTCTTTTCTCCTACCCTTCTCAATTCCCCTTCCCCCTTGCACCTTTTCTTCCTATTTCACATTATCTATTATACCTTTTAGTCCTTATTTACACTTTCAGTTTCTCACACTAGAGAAACTTTTCAGTATTTACACACGTGACCTATTTATTTCACTTAAGAATATCACCTCTCAGACAAAGAAGTAAAAACAGCAAATAAATACATGAAAAAATGTTCAACATCACTGGTCATTCAAGAGATGCAGATGAAAACAACACTGAGATTCCACCTCACCCCACAAAGAATGGCTGCTATCAAGAAATCAATCAATAACAAATGCTGGCGGGGCTGTGGAGAGAAAGGAACCCTTCTCCATTGTTGGTGGGAGAGCAGACTGGTGCAAGCACTGTGGAAATCCGTATGGAGACACCTCAAAGAACTAGAACTAGAGGTCCCATTTGACCCAGCTATTCTCCTACTGGGTATCTTCCCCAAAGAATTAAAAGAGTCATACCACAGAGATATATGTGCACCTATGTTTATAGCGGCACAGTTTGTAATAGCTAAGGTTTGGAAACAGCCCAAGTGCCCGTCAACTGGAAACTGGATAAAGAAGATGTGGTTTTTTAATAAAATGGAGTACTACTCAGTCATAAAGAATGAGAAACTAGAGTCATTTATAGCTAAATGGATGCATATTGAGGCCATAATCTTAAGTGAAATAAATAGGACATACATGTGTAAATACCAAATAGTATCTGTAGTGTGAGAAACTGAAAGTGTAAATAAGGATAAAAATTATTAAAATGAATAACTGATAATTTGAAATAGGAAAAGGTCCAAAGGTGGAGGGGTGTCGGGAGAGGAAGAGGAAAGGGAAGAAAGGAAAGGAAAAATTATGTGAAAGAAAAAATAATGGAAACAAAGTCTATGTAAATAGGGAAAGGTGGTGGGGGTGAAGGGCACACAGGTAATGGGGAAAAAAAAAGAACTAAGATACATCATGTTCAGGTACAAACACACAATGATAAATGTAAATGTATTGTATACCTAAAATGTATCAATTAATATATAAATAAAAAAAGAGTATCACCTCAATGTGCATCCATTTAGCTATAAATTTCTCTAGTTTCTCATTCTTTATGGCTGAGTAATGCTCCATTTTATAAAAAAAAAACCCACTCTTTCCCCTTTCCCTCCCACTTCCTTTATCCAGTCTCCAGTTGATGGCCATTTGGGCCATTTCCAAGTGTTAGCTTTTACAAACTGTACCGTTATGGACATGGGTGCACATATATCACTGTGGTATGATTCTTTTAATTCTTTGGGGAAGATATCCAGCAGGGTAATAGCTGGGTCAAGTGGGAGTTCCAATCCTAGTTCTTTGAGGTATCTCCATAATGATTTCCACAGTGGTTGCACCAGTCTACACTCCCACCAGCAGTGGAGTAGTGTACCTCTTTCCCCACAGCCCTGCTAGCATTTGTTATTGGTTGATTTCATGATGGCAGCCATTCTTTCTGGGATGAGGTGGGATCTCAGTGTTGTTTTCATTTGCGTCTCTCCAATGACCAGTGATGTAGAACATTTTTTGATATGTTTATTTGCTATATCTACTTCTTTGAGAAATGTCTGTTCATTTCAGATGCCCATTTTTGCATTGGGTCTTTCAATTTGGGAGGTCTGAGTTTTTCTGTTCTCTGTATATTCTAGATAGTAGACCTTTGTCTGAGGGACAGCTGGTGAAAATTTATTCCAACATTGGGAGTTGTCTCTTCACACTGTTGGTGGTTTCTCTTCCTGTGCAGAAGCTTGTTAGTAAGAAGAGATCCCACTTGTTGATTGTGCTCTTTCACGGGCAACTGAGGTTTTTTACATAAAATATTTTCCTACATCAATGTCTTCAAGAGTTCTACCCAGCCAGTTCAGAGTTTCTGTTTTAATATTTAGATCTTTAATCCATTTCAATTTTAGTTTAGTGTGTGGTGAGAGATATAGGTCTAGTTTTAATCTCTGACAAGTTGAAACCCAGTGTTTGCAGCACCATTTATTAAAGAGGCTATCTTTCCTCCAATGAGAGTGTTGGGCTCCTTTGTTGAAGATGAGGTGGTTGAAGTGTGTCTGGAGTTGTTTCTGCATCTTGTAATCTGTTCCACTGGTCCTCAGGTCTCTTTCATTGCCAGTACCATGTTGTTTTTAATCACAATAGCTTTGTAGTATAGTTTCAAGTTGGAAATTGTGATACCCCCTACCTTGTCTTTATTGCCTAGAATTGCTTTTGCTATCCCTAGGTCTCTTCTGGTGCCAAATGAATTTTTGGATTGTTTCTCCAGGTCTATGAAGTATGCTGCTGGGATTTCAATTGGGATTGCATTGAATCTATATAGCAGTTTTGGAAGTATGGTCATTTTCACTATGTTGATTTTTCCTACTCAGGAGTAAAGGATGTCTTTCTATTTTCTAATATCATTGCTAATCTCTTTTTTCAGAGTGCTATAGTTTTCAGAGTAGAGGCCTTTGATTTCTTTTGTTAGGTAAATTCCTAGGTATTTCAATTTTTTGGATGATTTTGTGAAAGTATTTGATTGCCCTATTTCTGTCTCAGTGAGTCTGTTGTTTGTGTAGAGGAAAGCTATTGATTTTTTTGTGTTGACCTTTGAACCAGCTACTTTATTTATTTTGGTTACTAAGTCTAGAAGACTTTTGATGGTGTTCTTAGGGTCTTCTATATAGATTATCATGTCATCTGTAAATAATGACAATTTGACTTCTTCATTTCCTATCTTTATTCCTTTTCTTTCTTTCTCTTGTCTAATTGCTGTGGCTAATGTTTCCAAAACTATATTGAACAGGAGTGGTGATAGTGGACATCCTTGTCTTGTTCCTGATTTTAGTGTGAAGGATTTCAATTTTTGACCATTTGGTATGATATTGGCTGTTGGAGTTTCATAGATCACTTTTATCAGATTGATGTAGAGAATGTCTATTCCAATTTTTTGTAGGGTTTTTATCATAAATGTGCATTGAAATTTATCAAATGCTTTTTATGCATCTATTGAGAAGATCATATGGTTTTTGTCCTTGGCTGTATTGATATAGTATATTGTTTATTGATTTGCATATGTTGAACCATCCCTGCATCCCTGGGATGAATCCCACTTGGTCAGGGTGTATGATCTTCTTGATGATCTTCTACATTCTCTTTGCCAGTATCTTAGTAAGAATTTTTGCATCTATGTTCATTAGTGAGATTGGCCTATTGTTCTCTTTTTCATTTGGGTCTTTCTCTGCTTTGGGGATCAAGGTGATGCTTGCTTCCAGGAATAAATTTGGGAGTATTCCTTCCCTTTCACTTTCATTGAAGAGTTCAAACAGTAGTGGTAGTAGTTCCTCTCTAAATGTCTTGTAGAATTCAGCAGTGAAGCCATCAGGACCTGGGCTTTTCTTAGTTGGTAAGTTTTTAATTATGTTTTCAATTTCATTGATTGATATTGTGTTGTTTAGAAGTTTTAGGTCATCTTCATTCAACATTGGTATTTCATACATATCTAGGAATCCATCCATTTCTTCTGTGTTTTCCATCTTATTGGTGTATAGGTTCTCATAGTAGGTATTGATGATCCTCTGGATTTCTGGTGGGTCTGTTGTAATTTCACCCTTTTCATTCCTAATTGCTTGGATTTGGGCCTTTTCTTTCCTTTTTCTGATAAGGTTGGCTAAAGGTTTATCAATTTTGTTGATTCTTTTGAAGAACCAACTCTTGGTTTCATTGATTTTTTTGTATTGTTTACTTAGTCTCCATTGCATTAATTTCTGCCCTGATCTTTATAATGTCCTCCCTTTTATGAGTTTTGGGTTTGCTCTGCTCTTCTTTTTCTAGAAGCTTGAGGTTCAGCATCAGGCTGTGCAATTGAGCTTGCTATGTTTTCCTTATGTGAATATTCACTGCTATGAATTTCCTCAATAAGAGTGCTTTCATTGTGTTGCATAGATTCTGATATGTTTTATTGTCATGGTCCTTTAATTGTAGGAATGGACTGATTTCGTCTTTAATTTCCTCTGTGACCCATTGATTATTCAGAAATGTGTTGTTCAATTTTCATGTGTTTATGAAATTCTTTAGGTTTCTTTTGCTATTGATCTCCAATTTATCAC